TTAGCACCCCTAAAAAATAGTATAGCCTTGTTATAAATTTCTAATGTTATAAATTATAAATTATAATCTTAGCGTTAGCCTTAGCGTTCTAGCAAGCCAAATTTACGCCTATGTTTAGAATTAAAAAAAAAAAAAATAATTAAAATAATATTTAACTAAACAACAGCACAAAGCCTGGTCGATCTTAATCTGTTATAGTGTTTTCTGAAATAGTGAAATTTAATTATCTCGACAATTATTGTAATTRTCTAAAATTTAAGCTTTGAAAGAATCATTTCGTATACCTACTGCCTACTGTTCGTATTAAGTTCTTCATATAAGCTATATACCGTTAAGGTGGTTAAAAATAAGACATTGAAAAGGGGCCTGAAATTCGACCAACTAGAATGATAAAAAACGTCACCAAATTTCAATAGGTAGGCGATTTTGTTTAAAATTCATCTTTAAAGATTGTTTTTCTTATCGTCCCATACTCCTATATAATATATATATATATTACAATTTCATATTCGATAATTATTAACGAGCGTTAGATTATAAGCACCAGTAATTTGAGGCAAATTTATAGGCAGTAGCATTTTTATTTTTATTTTTCTTATTGTTACAGCATCAACAACAAGGTTATTAGCTTACAATTAAGGTTTAAATTAAAATTATAATGTAAATATTAATAATGTGTAATATTTATAATGTACATAGAGTGATTTTTACAGTGKTCCAATATTAAGTTGTATAATTTGATCTTGTTTAAAAATTAATATTTTTGTTACAAGATTAAAAATGAACATTTTAATGAAATTTATCGTAATCTTGGAAATTTGAAAATTATTTTGAAGTCAAAATTCATTGGTACTATTTTTTTTATATTCATACCCCTAAGGTTTGAAAATTTTAATTCACGAAACCTACCATACATGCAGAGGTTAAAAGTGGAAAAAAATTCCAGAGGGGACTAATGTCTCCAAATACATAGTTTTAAGCGTTCCATATATAATTTTATATATAATAATGTCTAATGTATATAATCCAAATTTGTTAAAGGGGACGCTTTTTAACCGCCGTCAGAGGTAAGGAGACTGAGTCCTCCTGATTTAAATTTAGACGAACTCGGTCACTAAGGAACTTAGATATTCAAGCGTAAAATAAAGATTTCTTATGAAACGATTTTTCTAAATCTAATTCAAAAAGTATAAGTCGTAGAAACTTTAAGCATTCCACTGTTACTTAAATTATCTGATTATCATTAATTTTATTATAAATTTATAACTTACATACGAGGACACAGACACCCATTGTACAGCAGAGCGATTCAGCGATACCTATACTTTTTCAAATAAAATCGTATACAATTTTTTAGTGCTTTTCTAGGACATCTTCAATCACCAAAWKGGCTGACAGGGAAATCCCAAATCTGCATAGGTCTATCTGCCACTCGGTGATTTTTAATAATAATTTTACAAGTTTATGACCGGATTGTTATCGTATCACATAACTACATAAGTAGAATTATAAATTTGGCGGGTTGTTTGATTCTACATAATGACAATTATAATAGCGGTTCGAATTTCGAACCGATTCTTGTCACTTGTATAGTTGTATCTGAATATCAGAATAAAGGTCAAAGTTGAACGCGTGACGTCATACGACCATGATTAAAGAATTAATATTAAAAATAATATTATTTTCAGTGAAAGGTAAATAATATATTTATGTTTCGAAATATAGGTAGCAACATTCGCTTTAAACAGTGAGTAGTACAACTCTGCTACACTGTACATATAGATACACTGTATGTTTGTACAACTCACTACTCATGTGTATAATCACAGATTATATAATCTATGGTATAATCATGTGTAATATAATATTATAATATTAACCATGTGTCGTATTCTACTATCTATGAGTGACATCATCTGCTTATCAGTTATTACTTATTTCATTATAAATAATTAWAWAAATAATATCATAAATATTAAATTACAATAATTAATGCTCTGATTTGGAAATCCATTAATAAATTAAAAAGAGTTTGTATGACGCTAATGGCCGTTAGAAGTGACTGTGGCCGTCTGTGGCCTGCGACCGGTTATGCGTAGTGCGTGAAAGACACTTAATCGAGACGGACGCTATTCGTTCTATTTACTGGTTCGTAAGTCGTATGGAAACGCCGCGTGCCATTTCCATTTGGCTAGCAAAAATTTGTTATTTACGAGGTTAGTTCGCGTAGTGCTCGGTTGCTCGGTAGTTAGTTCGAAATTGTATGCTCCGCATAATTATTTCGACGTAGTGACGGCGATAACTGATAAGTGCTTGTTTGAGTAGGTACCTCTAGTAGGTATATCTATTCTACTACCTAGTGAGGAGATTTCGTTACACGTTGGTGGACGGCATATTTTGCAGGTCGGTTGGCTATGATCTCTGATCCTCCTAAAACCCGGGACTGGTGGCCGGCCCTGGAGGACTTTCAACTAGCGGATACAGCCGTGGTTGTCTTGAACACCAGCATTGAAAATCCACCGAAGCTAGTGCGGMACCTGTGGAACAAATGTGAGTTTTTCTGTCACTGAAATAGCATGTTAGCATTGAGCACTAATTTTATCAAGGTTTTTTGTCTTTTTTTCGTTTCCAGCCTGGCTYCGAGTAACTGTCGACGGTGGCACTAACCAATGGCACAATTTTGTCAAACAGAACTCATTTGATGACTTGAAATTCCCTGATCTTATTACTGGTGATTTGGATTCAGCCAACCCTGCTGTTGTCGAGCAATTTGTGTCAATGGGTTCAAAAATTATTCCTACGCCTAACCAGGATGAGACTGATTTCACCAAAGCTCTTAAAGAGGTTAAGAAATACTCAGCAAGTAATTATACGTAATTATATATGCGCTTGTGAGCTACTTGTAATTCTCTCATACTCAAAGTTGGTTTTTTTTTTTAGTGAATTGTAAGTCAATAGATTCTATTATTGTCATGGTAAACATGTGTCATAGGGTTGATCATTTCTTGTCTAATTTAAATACGCTGTATAAGTCAAAGACCAAAGATCTTTACTTTGACGAAGACATATATCTGCTGGGAAGAAATTCTTTAACCTGGTTGCTTCAGGCCGGTACACATCGTATTCATGTTCCTCAGTCTCTTAGGTTGAACCCAAAGAACAATTATGTAGGCTTTTTTCCAATGGGTTCGGCTTGCAACGAATGCACAACTACAGGACTCAAGTGGAATTTAAGTAAGTTATTTTGCTTTTGTTGCCACGATTTAATCATTTTCAATTTTTTTACTAAACTAATGGTATATTTGACACTCTTTGAGATCGATAGTTTGGTTTATTAGCAGTATCAAAAAATTTAATTTTAATATTTAGGTGTTTTATACTATTTTTATAGTTGATTTACTTTCTATTTAGCTATTATTTTGCGCTGTATTTTGTCAGTAAAATTAATGTTAGTAGAATAGTCAGTATACTGTATTTGATTCAATTTTCATTTCTTATGATCAAATAAGTTTCAAATTT